CAAACAACATCGGGATGCATGGTGAAGAAATCGAAGTGGTCGAGGATTTCACGCTTCTCGGGTCCATGATCAATGCCCATGGAGACATCGGTCAAGAAACCCGCAGCACGTTGTCTTGAAATCTGCAGCTGAAGGAAGACCTTTAAAACCTGAAAAAGCCAAGATGTCACCGGAAGGACTAAGGGGTGCCTGGCAGCAGCCGTGGTACTTTCAAGCTGGACTCGGGGGGCAGGCGACTGGAGAGGAGTTGATGCACTGGCGGCACCGCGTTGGCGGAGAGTGCTGACGTTACCTCGGCCTCCAGAGGAAGGAGCAAATCTGGCTTAGCAGAAATGCAACCCGGACGAAGCCAGAAGACAAAACTGGAGCAACTCCATCTCCTCCCCTTTGGAGACACTGCCAGGAGGGATCCATCCTTGGAGAAGGGCATCCTGGTTGGTAAAGCAGGTGGTCATGGAAAAGGAGGCAGACTGGACAAGAGGGACAGATAGCAGAACTGCGGCCGTGGGCCACGCAGCAAGCGCTGTGGGGATGGTGCGGACTGGGCAATCACCCATTCTCTCATACACAAACCTGTTTCATTCTGTTCTGTCGGACTCTGGGCAGCAAACATGGTGCAGGACTGGACAATGTTCCATTCTGCTATTTATCTATGAGCCCGTTGCTATGAGTTGGCACCTAGCAACAACCCTGCATTTCCAGACGTCTAACGCATTGTTGGCCATACAGCTTTGGCTTCCTACGTGTGAGTCCAAGAATTCTTAACGCGAGGAATGCATCAGAGACTCCCGGGCAGATACTCATCAGTGGATGAATGACTGGGTGAAAGATTGAGTGCCTCAAAGCACCCTTGTTTCCGGGGCTTTGTTGAACAGAAACTGAGAGGACCATCACTAGGGTCACCAACTGTCCCCTGCTTTCTGAGCACGGGACCGCCGGTGCTTCGAATCAGGCATTGTCACCAGTTGTTATGAATGAAACTCTTCAAAGAATGGCCGCCAGCCCATGGTCATGCTGACATCCGAGCAGAGCTCTGGGTCCTGGGACATTCTCGTGGCCATGATGCTGAGCTCTCTAGAAACGAGCATCCAGTAAGTCAGCCTCTGTGGGGCCCTCCCAGCCACCGGTGGCCGCCTCCATCAATTATTCATGCCATAAAAGCCCGCGAGTGCACTTGTTTCCTAGCGAAGTCTCTCTCTAGGTCCATTAGGTATGAGTCAGGTTGGGGAAATTGCCGGGGCTCATTTGGCTTCCCTTTCTAAAAAAAATCAAAGAAATAAAACATTTAAAAATCTAGCTCTATTGATCTCTCACCTTCCCGACACACCCCTTGCCCCAAAGCAAAGCTCAGCAGTGGCCAGGCCTCCCAGAACCGAAAGTCAAGGGTGCACACGGAGGAGGAGAGTGAGGGGGGTACCCCGTCACTGATGTCTAAGCACAGAAGGAAAAGGAAGGCTGTTTGCATATTGCCTCCAAAGTTGCCCCTCTGAGCAGACCTGCGCCCACCCCCCACCCCACTGAAAGGGGGCTCATGCAGTCTAGACAGCATCTGCATCCTCTAAATGCTCTGCTGGCCAATCCCCAGGGGTCTATGGGATGCTTGTTTGCTGCTATGGGGGGATCCTTGATTTATGGTGACCTCACATACAAAGGGATACATTGCTGCCTGGTCCTGCCCCCCCGCCCCCCGCCCCCCCCCCAGGATCAGGGGTAGTTTGGACCATGAAGGTGTTTTCACTGGGTGCTCATTGGCTGAGTATTGGAAGTGGATCCACGGGCCTTTCATCCTACTGTCGTTTTAGTCCGAAGCTCCCTGTGACCCCTGCAGCGTCACAACCACACAAAGTTCCACTGACAGATAAGCGTTGGCTGAACTTGAGGGGCATTGGCAGGGACTCGAACCGGGTCTCCTGCATGCCAGGCGAAAATTGTCCGCCTGTGTCGGTGTCCATGAACCAGAATCGCTCCACTTTGCAGATTTGAAACCATAATATTGAGATGGGTCCCCTGTGCTCACTCAAGGGCCTCTGATGTCTGTGCACCTGTCTAGCAGAGCCCTCATGCCCAGGAGAAGGACTGCGCCTTACAGAGGCTGAGAAGGCTGGGGCTCAGACTGAGTTCCCTGGGAAAGTGGCTTGGGTTGCTGCAATTAAGGCGGGAGTCTCACAGTGGAGACTAGGCCAGGCTCATGTTCCAAAGGAGGCCAGGTCTCAGTGGACCTCTGGTAGCCCTGGCTTGGCCTTCAGCCTCCTGCTAGCCTCCAGCTCTCTGAGCTAGCTGAGTGCCCACCTGTCTGAACAGAATAGCCCAGGGATAGATGGGTTGTGGGTGAGGAGGGGCTGAGCAAGGGGTGGAAGAGCCTGCCCACCTGCAACCACATGCAGGCTGAACGAATCAGACCCAGCACTCTCTTAGGATCCAGCTGCCCCTTGGCGTGTAGGCACTCCCATCCAAGTGGGGACCAAGCCTTGGGCCAAGGGGCAGATGGGTTCGCTCCTGGCTTTAGTCCTGAGCCCATCCATGTGGGTCAGGACCTGCGCTGGCTGACTGTGGATGTGGAGGAAAAGAGAGGAGGCTGGGAGAGGCTCTCTGCAGGACACAAGGCAAGGGGGGGACAAGAGAGGAATACATGGCCCTTAGCGAGGGCGGGCTCTGAGATGAGGGTATGTGGGGAGGGGTAACTAACCGTTATTAGCCAATATGACTTTGAACTACCATTTTTTTTAGGAATGAAATTAGGGCATAACTATTTATCTAACACTTGTCAGTCAACATCGAGGGTCATCAGGCTGCCAACAACAAGGTTAGCAGTTCAGTAGCACCATCCACTCCTCGGGAGAAAGATGAAGATTTCTATTCCCATGAAGTCAGTCTTGGAAACCCACAGGGGCAGATCTACCCTGTCCTCTAGTGTGGTTGAGTCGAGTTGTTGAGTTGAGTTGAGTGAGTCGTTGGGTAGTGCAAACAGTGTATGTACCAGACTCCCAACTGAAATTTTGGAGGCTTGAGTCCCCATGGGACCCCTCAGAGACAGGCCTGCTGACACACTTGAACAGTCGGCCACTGGAGGTCCTATGGAGCAGTTCTGTGCTGACGCTGCTGAGATCAAGAGCTCAGGAAGCAAACTCATCATGAGTAGAACGTACGAGAGGATGGTGGGTGGACAGGAGATGCCCTCCGGCAGCAGGGACCTGTGTGAGAGAGCACCCTGGGCGGGACTTTGTGCCGGGTGCTCCCCCTGCATTGAGGCTTAGCAATACGGATGCCTTACTTTTCCAAACTAGCACGGTTGGCCAGTGGCGATTTGAACCGGTGTCTGAAGCAGAGATTGTCCACGGTCGCTGCTTTTCCCTTGCTGTTTATTCGAAGGCCGTGTGGCAAGGAAAGAAGTGGGCCGAGCCTAACACTGCCAGTAGACCCCCAAAACCCCCTCCCCACCCCTGCCTCCTGGGGCTCAATGTCCAGCCCAAGAATAGACAGGCTTTAAGGGAGCAGTCACACTAGGGAGGTGATCACCGTCTGACATCGAAAGGGGCAGAGTTTAGAAGGCAGAGGAGCAGGAAAGCAGGAGGAATGAAGGAGCTGAAGGCCCAGGAGTCAGTGGGATGAGCAATGCTACATTGTGGGGACAGCACTCAGCGGGGCCACACCAGACGCGTGTGCAGGGCTGAAGGGAAAACACATTCGCTCGGTAACCTTCATCCACTCCCCAACAGGCATGATAATAATAATGAAAGACCCAGACCCACCCTCACTGTGTGGTCTAGGAGGTGGGGTGTGTATATGCTGGTTTGGTTTTTTTTTTAATCACCAGCTGGTAGTGCCCCAAACCTCATGCCTGCTCTTGTAGACCCGGAGCTGGGCCCTCAGACGGCTCCCCACCTTGCCGTGCCCAAGGAGATGGCTGCCCCGGGAGTGCGCCTGCTGGCACAGATCCCCTTCCTTCACGGGCACAGGCAGTGGCTGCGAGTCAGAATCATCTCTGTGGCACGAAGACAACCGGGCCATGGCCGAGTCAATGGCATGGCCCGCTCTGTCCGAAGGATCATGAAGATTCCAGGAGCAATTCCATCTGCACCTGGCTTTCTGGCCACAGTTGGAAGGTTTCCTCATGGGCTGGAATATCAATGCAAACAGATGTGCAAGTTTCTCCGCCTGGAAGACTGGTTGGGTTTTGTTTGTTTTTTTCTTTCTTAATTCACCTCAGCTTGGGGTTCAGGAGCCTGAGTTTTTCATCAGGACTTGTTAGAACAGGGGTTCTCAACCTTCCAAAGGCCGTGACCCTTCAGTGCAGTTCTTCATGTGTGGTGACCCCGCAACCATAAAATTATTTTCTTTGCTACCTCATAACTATAATTTTGCTACTGTTATGAATCGGGCGACCCCTGTGAATGGGTCATTCAACCCCCAAAGGGGTCTCAACCCACAGGTTGAGAACCGCTTAGATCTTTGTGGAAATCTCCAAAAATCGAATAATTTGTTTAGAAAAGTAAAAGTTCATGTGCTCTTCATAGATGGCATTGCGACCAGAGAGCTGCCGCCCTCTGACCGTGTGCAGACACTGTGAGCCCCCTGTGGTCACAACCTGCTGAGACTGAGGAGAGCTGGCTGTGGGCTGGACCCAGGCAGGAACCCATTGGTAGCCAAGCAGTGGCTCAGGCTCAGTCACTCCACCTCCGTGCCTCAAAGTCCTGGCAATCTGCTGCCCCAAAGATTCGTATGCTGCCGGGCGCCATTGCGTCAGCTCTCACAGTGAGGTTCTGGCCGAGAGAAGGAAGCGGGGTGTCCTTGTTCACCCTTCTCACAATCGCTGCCGCATTTGATCCCATGGTTGCAGCCTTTGTGCCAGTCCAACTCCTTGAGGGTCTTCCTCCTCCTCGTCTTCTTCCTCAAGCATGCTGCCCTTCTCCGGGGATTGCTCCCTCCTGATGACATGGGCCCAAGTGAGTAGACCAAGTTTCATCTTCCTCCTTTCTAAGGATGTCCTTTCTCCAACACAGGTGTGTTTGTGGTTCTGGCTGCCCATGGTCTACTCAATATTCTTCACCAGCACGCCAATTCAGAAGCGTCCGTTCTTCTTTGGTCTTCAGCTCCCGCTCTCACATGTATGTAAGGTGCATCGTAGTCCCCAAGGGGACACCCTTGCCTGCCTAGCACTCTGAGGGGGATTTGCCCCGTTTGTGGCTCCACATGAAAGGAAAAACATGACAACTTCCCGCTCACCGCGTGCCACGGTTCTACTCTGTGCCGTGGGGTCACGTAGGTCAGAAACAACTTGCTGGCTCACACTCACCACTCAAGTTCAAGGTCATGGGCCCATCTAGCTTCTTGTGTTGTTGACAGCCTGAGAGTGGCTAAGAACGGGAGCTCAGGTTGCAGACAGATCTCACCCATCTTGTTATCTGACCTTGTACGGACTGTCCAGTCATACGAAACCTGAGTTTCCGCATCAGTCGAACTGCCTCCAAGGCTGGGTTTTTCCCCTGAAGGTTAACGAGATGTTATATGTAACTTCCTGCCACTTGCTGGGTGCTATTCAGAAAGCCGTGATGTTGAACTTGCAGGTGTTTTAATCTTGTAGACGTGACAACGACAAAGCGCTCATCTACTCTCCTTCCATCTTTGTTTTTCCTCATGGCAGAAAGCATTGCCTATAGTATCTATCTGTGTTTGCTTCCTCGGAGTAGAGATGAGAGCATTTCGGGTTTGTTTGTTTCTTTTACCACTACTCAGGACTAGCGATGACACACAAACTCAGATGCGCCCGTTTTCTATAGTCTTGAGTTTTTTAACTGGTCTAAAATTGGACTTTGGGGGAGGAACGAAGGGCTCTTTATTACAGGGCAGGATGAAAATGTTGAGTATGATTCATGGCTGTCTGCAGAGTTTGATCTGCTTTAATGGACATCATGTACCATACGGAGATATTGAACAAAGGACTGTTCTATAAAAATTTCAAATCAGCTAATTTTATATAGGCTTCTGCCAAACCAGTAGAGGATGATGAGTTTTTAATTGAGCAATGTTCTCCTTAGAAACGGTCTCTGAGACCATTCAAGTCCGTCTAGAACACTTTCTCTCCTGTCTCGTCTTGGGTCTTGGGCCACTTGAACTCTGAAGAATAAAAATGCTAACCTTGGCCTTGTATGTGAGGGTCTGAAACGGCCTCAGAGTTCTGTTAGGTGAGTCGAGGCCCCCTGGAGACTTGCTGGAAAAAGGCATGTCATTTAAAGTGTTGTGTGATCAGTGCCATCGAATTAATGCTGACACCACTGTGACTGAGGAGAACTGGCCCCTAGGGTTTCCTAGGCTGTAATCTTTAGCAATTAGCAGTTCGAAACTACCCACAGCTCTGTGGTTGCAAGATGAGGCTTTCTGATCCCGTCAAGGGTGACAGTCTCGGAAACAACAGGGGCAGTTCTACCCCGTCTTCTAAGGTGACCATGAGTCGGCATCGACTCACTGGCTGTGAGTTTGGGTTTAATGTTAATGGAAGGAGATGACCTGGTTTTTCTTCCAGAACTGCTGGGCGGGTCTAACCACCAGCTTTCTGTGAGGCCTCCTGAACCTGAGCAGACCCCAAGGGCTGCAGATTGTAAGACAAGAATACCTCCTTACTCATTTCACCCTGGTTTGCACCCACTCCCCTTTCCTCTACGGGCAGCAGAGCCCCTGGGCTTGCTCTTCTCTGCAGACCAAAATACTGGGTGAGCTGCTCCCTACATGGCTGCCCAGGAGTTTTTGGACCTGAGTCGATACTCATCAAAGCAGGATGTGCTATCAGGTGAGCCTGTGCACAACAGAACCTAACACGGCCCAGTCCTGCACCGTCCTCACAATGGTTCCGATTCAGGAGCCCATGGTTGCAGCCACTGGGTCAGTCCCTCTTGTAGAGGGCCTTCTGCTTTAGCAAGCATGATGTCCTTCTCCAGGGGCTGGTCTCTCTTGACTACATGTCCAAAGTATGTAAGAGGAATCTCACCGTCCTTGATTCTACAGGGTACTCTGGCCTGACTTCTTTTAAGACAGATCAGCCTGTCTTGTTAGCAGTCCATGAAGCTTTCGACAGTCTTTGCCAGCACCAAAGTTCATATGCACCGATTCTTCTTTGGTCATTTTTATTCAGTATCCGACTTTCACACGTATATGAGGCAGCTAAAAATATCATGACTTGGGTCAGGCCCACCTCAGTCCTTAAAGTAACATCCTTGCTTTTGAATATGCTAATAAGGTCTTGTGTGGCAGATTTACTTCCTGCAATTCTTCTTTGGGTCTCTTGACTGCTGCTTCCATGAGAATTGATTGTGGATTCAAGCAAGATGAAATCCTTGATGACTTCAACCTGTTCTCCATTTATCATGATGCTACCGATTGGTCCAGTTGTGAGGAATTTGGTCTTCTTGACATTGAGTTGTAACCCATACTGATTACCTACTGATCTGCATCAGCATCTCCTCACTTTCATCAAGCAAGGTGGTGTCATCTGCATATCTCAGCTTGCTAATAAGCCTTCCTCCAATCCTGAGGCCACACTCTTCGTCATATCATCCAGCTTCTCAGATGACTTGCTCAGCACACAGCCTGAATAAGCTTAGTGATAGGGCACAACCTCTCGTGATTTTAAACCATACAACATCCCCTTTCTCTGTTCACGTAACTGCCTCTTTTGATCCAAGAGGATGCAGAACATTTTTGGGGGGGACTATGTTATGCCAATTTAATGAATTTAGTGTTCCCTGAAAACATCCTTCTAAACTCCTAGGCTCAATGACTCATTCCCTCGAGGTGGTTGGTTAGTCTAAAGATGTGCTCGTAACTTGGCCCCTGCATTATGCTCTACCACATTTATGAATATATTTGCAGCAAAAGTGAATATATATACATATCCATATATACACAAATAACCTGTCCAACCTATATATCCTGCATGTCCTCCCATTACTCCTACCCCTCCTCAGCCTGCATGTCTGTCTGTATCTACCCTTTGATCACTATTATTATAGGGTGTGTACAAACAGTATTTTCCTCTGTTGTCTTTTAACCTTGCACTCCTTCCACTGTCTTCCCGTCTCCATCATTTTTCTTGCTGACTTGCCTCTAAGGGTTCATCACTATCTCCTTCCCAAGTGACCACTAGTCTCCCCTCTAGCCAGTAACGTGCTCTCCCTGACCCTCTCACTGAATCCTCATTGACTTGATGGCACTAAGTTTGGGGTTGTGGTTTTTTTTACATCCCACTCTAATAACTATTAAAGAGTATTTCATTGCTGTGAAACGCTTCTCGATTTTTTTATGGCAGTAGATTCTCCATGACCTGAGACCAGAGGAGCTAGATGGTGCCCAGGCACCACTCTCAACTGCTCTCAAAAGGTCCTGGATAGAGTGAGAGAAAAATGTGGAATAAAACTCGAAATGGTGTAAAAGACCAGGCTTCCTGGCTGGATAGAGTCAGGTGGAACCTCAGTGACTATGGCCCTTAGGCACCCGTCAGGTCTGCAGAGGAGCTCACCCCACTGGCTCAACTTTCATCAAAGCAATAGACAGTTCGATAAGGAGAATCATTTCACTGGGGTGATACACATAAGCAACCGTGTGAGATCACAATGGCAGCATCTACCTAAGGATGAAGTTCAGAAGGCAGGTCGGGAAGGAGTCGGAATGGAACCAGGCTGAATCTCTTCTCCCGTGTCTTACCCCAATCTCTCCTCGCTGCACCCACTTGGGCTGGGGGAAGGGTGGTTGAATGATGGTGGAACTAAGCAGTAGCAAGAGAAGTCTTGGTGGCAGGGATCTGAGGAGTTACGGAGGAGTCTAGCAAAAGAGAGAGAGAGAGAGAGGTGGCAGGGTATCGGGGAGGCCTGAGAAAGCACTGGACAATCTTGTTCACTCTAAGGATTCCCAAGCTTGTGGTCCGAACCTGTCAGAATGTTAGGCCTTGTTGTTGTTAGTTGGGGCTGTCGAGTGTGTGCCTGTTTACATCTCCATGATATTTCCCAGAAGGAAACACTGCCCAATCTTGTGCCATCTTCACCACCATCCTCACCTTGGAGCCCTTTGTGGCAGCCACCGTGTCAATACACCTCGTTGAGAAGCTTCCTCTTTTCCCGGCCCTTCTACCCTACCTGACAGGATGCCCTTTTTTCAGGGACCGATCTCTGCTGACATGTGAAGTCTCAATGTCCTCCCTTCTGAGGAGCATCCTGGCTGCACTCCTTCCAAGACGAATTGATTTGTTCCATCTTCAGAAAATGGGCTAAGTGGTATTACCTTGTAGGGATTGCAATCAATGACATGAAACAAAATATGTCTCACCTGTTGAGTAGAAAACCGAACTGCTCTCTACACTCCACCTACTTCACACGGAAAAGCAAAACGAATCTCAATGAAACCGATCCAGAAACAAAGTGTATCACACGTGCTCCCCGGGGGCCAGGCTGCTGCTCTCTCAGCTAATGGCTGTCTGGTTTCTCTTCTCTGTTTTCATCGGGTGAAATGTGCCCTTCTGAGAGCCAGCTTTGTGGATGAAGGGTGGGGAAGAGCCACTCTTAAGATAGACCATACTGAAATAGGAACAAGACCTGAATTGTGAAGCCATTGTGAAGCCATTAGAACCACAGGCACGGGTTTGGAAAGGCTCTTGGAGATCACTACACTGGTCTCCTTGGGCTGCCATAAGAAAGGGTGTGAATTTGGGGTGTGGGATTAGCCATGTTCTCGCCAAAGGCTCTAGGGAAGATCTTCTGGAAGCCCAGGCATTCCATGGCTCCTAGCTGTGTCTTCCCAGGTCCTCCTCCACCCTCACAGGGACAGAGAGGGAAGACAAGAACCTCATTCGTGTGGTATGTGCCCACCCTCCTTCATGGGAGTAGGGGCTCTGTTGGCAGAGCTGATCATCGAGAGGTCAGCAATTCGAAACCAGCAGCCGCTCCTCGGAAGAAAGACGGAGCTGCAAAGAGTGACAGTCTCAGAAACACACGGGGGCGGTTCTACCCTGTCCTGTAGGGTCGCCATGGAAAGGCACTGACTCGAGGGCAGTGAGTTGGGATTTTCCTGCCGTGGGAGCTCACATTTCCTTAATTGTGAGAGCCCCCAAAGGACGTGTGTT